CGTTACCTAACTTACTACTACTAGTAGTGTGTGTGTGTGTGTGTGTGTGTGTGTGTGTGTGTGTGTGTGTGTGTGTGTGTGTGTGTGTGTGTGTGTGTATATAAGTCATACTGCACCTCTTTTTGAAATCTGCAGCCTGCGAATCCCCTGTCATTAATTTTCTGGTAACACACACAGACAGAAAATGAAGCCTCATTCATAATTATTGCAGAGCGCTGGATGACAGCAAGTCATAAAGTGAACAGATCAGGCTCTTCCGTTTGGAGCTCATTTTTGTCACAAGCATGGCTTTGTAGAAATAGCAGAGGCAAGTGCTAACAAATACAAACACTTAAATATGTCCCAGCTAAATGAAGCTGCTTAATAGTTATTAAAGTTAGACTGGTCAATTACCCATCATCAGAGGGATACATAGTTCTTCTTAATTGTTTTAACTTGAAACGTACACAGATTGAAATTCCTCCTTCTCCTTTTCACTGTGCTCTCTCCTTACCAACCTCTCCTGCATGTTTGTAAAGTGCTTTGAAGATGGGAAGTGCTATATAAATGATGAGCAGCTTTATTTAATCACCGCTGTTCATTGCAAATTACTGAGAGAACATAAGTAAAATTTGCCCAGCCAGAAAAAACTTTGGAGTATGCACAGTCCCAGAGAGCAAAATATTCTCCCAGTTTATGGGCTGATTTATAGACTCCTCAATAAAGATCAAAACACTCTTTTTGCCCTTAATCTGTAACAATCATTAGCAACTAATCTCCCCAACCCACCACCACAACAACAATCCCAAAGCAACTTCCCCAAAGTTACTTACCACCCTGACACAGGCTGCTTCCAGGCATCCTGCTCCCCTGCACACATGCTGCAAACTGAAGACTCTCCTCTGGTACCAGTTAGCAGAGAGACTTGGGCATATTTTAAGAATACTGATTACATGGAGAATCTCTATTGCACCCAGTAAATCTCAGTCCCTTCTCTCCCTCTCTCTCTCACTCTATCCCCTGTGGAGGGAATATATCCATATATTGACCAGCAGTCCCTTTGCAAAAGGGCATCCTCATAGGCTATCAGAGACTCAGGAGACAGCTCCTTATCTCGACTCCTGGGGTGTCATGGTGAAATGAATTGAGGGAGAGCTGGTGGAGCCTGCCCTCTTCCCCATCTGTCCTCTGCTTCCCTTGGGGATTGTCAGTGTGGTCCTGAAAGAGCAGGGAGGGAGAAGGAGGAAGGGCTTAGAAATAATCTCTCCAGCATCCATCCATCCATCCAGCAGGCAGCAGCAGCAACTCAGTAGCAGTCTGCAGTGAAAGAGGCATCCCCTGTAATCATGCGCAGTAATAAATAAATTCTGGCAAACAGAGTTACTAAAACAACCCCTGTCCCCATTAACACCTGCCACCTATATGAATCTTCTGAGAGTTGTTTGCTTTGGAGATACCAGCTGAGTACTTTGGGAGCAGCTTCCATTCACAGCACCGCTGGCCATCTTCTGAAATAGAGATTCACTAATGGGATTTTATGGGGAAAGGTAAGTTGCTTGCTTGCTTGCTGGGAGGATGGATCCCACCGCCCTCCTGGTTGCTGGGAGAAGACATTCCTCAGCGCAGTGGGTCTCCCCACCCACCTGCCCCCAAGACCAGGGAGTGGGGTCTGAGCCTTCCATTTCCCACAGAGCTGCCCAGAAAACTCTCTACCCTCCCTGCCTTTTGTAGGGGGCAGGGGCTTTCTCATCGCTTCATTACACAGGCAGTTAAGGAGGCTATTCCATATATTCCTTCTCTCCCTTTCTTCCACATGTGATCAAGGGGGATTGGGTATAGCTGGTGGCTGCAATGCTATTGGTCTTTGGGCTGAACGATGGGGGTGTTAGAAAGGAGGCATGGATTAGATCAATATTCCATTCACCGTGCCACAGTAGAATCAATGAGCTGATCAGCAGATCCCCAAAGGCTCATGCTCCCAAATGGTGAGCTAACTCTGCCGAGGCAACAGCCTTAGGATGTGTCGTACCTGGGTTGTCCAAAGTCACAGAACTCAGATCCAGAGCTGGATTTTAACACAGGCTGTTCAGATCCAAAGGTTTTGTTTGGCCGATTGCATGGATAAGGGCTACTTGCAAAAGTGTTCCTCAGAGTTTGGATTTCATTGGCGCTTGGGTTTTGGTTTGAGTGCCTCTCTCATTCACACGGTCAATATACTGTGCACTTCGGCCCAGATTCTCAAAGGTATGGTGGCTCCTAATTTCCATTGAAATCAAGCCTAAATATCTTTGAGGATCTGGGCCTTTGTCCCCTTGGCTCATTTTGCCCCACTTCCACACTTAACTTTTGGAGGAATCACCCACCACCGAATTGCAGCCCCTTCGAAGCAGAATGGTGCAGCTGTTGATCAATGTATAGCTATGCTCTGGCATCGTTTAGGACAGGAAGGCTTCTAGTTCTAATTGGACACTTTGGCACATCTCCTTTGGCCCACGAGGTGCCCAGATGATGAACTTCTTATCAAGCTCTAGCACTGGAGTTTACACACAGGTACTAATTATGCAGTCTACTGAGAAGACAAGATAGATGCCTTTAGGCATCAGAGTCCTGGGAATGTAGCTCAAAATCACTTAAATCCTATCACGTTAATAAATGTAGCTGTTCACTCTTCATATCAGCCATTCCCATGGATTTCAGTGCAAAGAAAAACAATTCTATTCTAATTAACTTTGGATAAATTATTTCATAAAATGGCAAATCAATCAGCATCGTCGCGTTACCTCAGCCCCCCTCCCCCCTTTGTCAGGTATATTTAAAGGTAACATTTCTGAAGTGCATTGAGACAAGAATGTGTCCAACAGCAATGCGCAAAATTGCACTACAATGAATAATAAAATTTTATCAGTGTTTACCAAAAAGTGTATGTTTATGACTATTTAATGCCTCATCCCTGGTATTAGGAATCTTATTTGTTTTACAGTAGCGCTCCCATCTGAAATCAGGGCCCCATTGTGCTAAGCAGTATTAGTATTAGACAGTCCTGAAGAGTTCACAGTCTACGTAGACAAGGTGGAAATATCATTATCCCCATTTTGCAGATAGGGACCGAGGCACAAAGAGACTCAGGGCTTGTCTAGACAGCACGGACAAGCTGGGGAATAAATCTACAGCACACCAGTATGCTGTGCACTAACTGTCCATGTGGATCTTGGTAACATGCACTGAAAGTTCCCTCGTGCACACTGACCTACTCCCATTTCAAAGCAGAGTAGCTCAAAGTACACTAGGGAATTTTTAGTGCACGGTAGCAGAGTCCACATAAGAGAGTGCATGTCACGCTAGTGCACTGTAGATTTAGACCCCAGCTTGCCACGCACTCACTGTTCATCTAGACAAGTCCTAAATAGCTTTCCCAAGGTCACACATGGAAGTCTGTGATGGGGCCAGGAATTGAACCAGGTCTCCTGCGTCCCACTCTTAACCCTCAGACCATCCTTCCACAGTATCCAATTCTTGCTTTCTGTTTCTCCTATTTTGTGCCTTTAAGCACAAGTCACTGTGTCCCCTCTACCCAATTCATCTCTCTCTTTTTATAGTAACACTTCTGTTACCTTTTCTTGTCCCTTAGTTACCGTTCCTTTTTCAAGCTCGCTCCAGATGGTTCCCAGGTAATTTTCTTTCACTGTAAATTTCCCTCACTCTTTGCAATTGCCTCACTCAGTTTGAGACTTGCTATCCCTCTCTCCCTTTTCCTCTCTCTCATTCGAGTTCTCTTGCAGTCTCTATAATTCCTCTCATCCCTCCTTCCTTTATTACCCACCCCCTCAGTCAAATCAACTCCTGTTATCTTTCTGCTACCTTAAATTCAGCCCTTGCCTCCTTTGTACTCAGCCATCCTGTGGTTAAGAGTGAGGGCAACCTGCGGACGAAAGCAGGAAGAACTCGCTGGGAAATTGTAAGTGTCTTTCTGTTTTCTGCAGAGGGAAACTCTAAAAGGCCCAAATGCTGCCACATGCAATAATTGTTAATGTGACACAAGCTGGCTGAGTCGCACTGGACTGTAAGTAATAACGCTCATAATGGGCTAGACGGTCCCCATTGCTTACTCAGCCGAGCAGAGGAATAGGAGCGAGTAAGGGCTCAGGTACTCTTGTTTGGCCCATGTGCTTCTTAAGAATGGGGCGAAGCACAGTCCTTGCTCTCCAGATACAGCCCCTGGGAGTAAATGGCTGGAGAGAGGTGGTTTCCCCATCTATTTGCTGGCCAGACTTGGGATGTTAGGTGCCTCCTTTTGAGGGGTGTAATTCTCAAAATTCCCGCTTTCCTGAGCAAGAGTGGAGCAGGGAAGGAATTATGACTGTGCCCCTGGGGCAAAGCAGTTGCATATTGCCCCTTACTCAGAACCAAGGCTAAAGGCTCAATCTAGCCATGCGTAAACCTAAGTAAAAGTTTCAATCCTGGTCCCATGAAAATCAGTGGCAAAACTCCCACTGACTTCCAAAGGAGCAGGAGCAGCACCTTAGAAATGGCAATTCAACTATGCATATTCAACATGAATCCACCCACATGGTGGGTGAGTTTGGTTATGTGTGGGTCTTTTTCAGTGGCCAAGCAAACCGGAACATACGTGAGTCTGGCAATGGCTTTTTAAGGAACAATAGGCCATATCTAATTGCAGTGGCGACACAGATTTTCTGGATTTACATAGCTCAATATTGAAGCAATTAACATAGTTGCTCATTAAGTTTTTTTATCGGTATATAGATTCTGCAGACTATGGGGAGAAATAGTGGAGGCTGACTCCATTTGTGTGTTCTTCATTGTGAAGATTTAATGATCATTCTCTTTTCCTTTACCTTCACCACCAGTTATGCCATAATCTCATATTGCTTCAAAATTTCTGCCTTCCCAGTATAGTATGCACAGGGGCTCTGGTATTTCTCGGTGTATCTTGTTTTCTGAGCACACAATAAAGTCCCACATTCCTCAAAGGATCCAACTTTCCAGGCGGTGCATGGCCATTTTCGAGGTTCAAGCAGTGACCAAAATCTTCTGAGTATCATTGCTGTATGCATTTACTATTCTAGCTTGTAAAATTTGTTTGATCCATTTGGAATATTCCCTCTTCTCCAGGCATGTCTCTACATAAGATATAGGCAAAAGGTGTTCTGGACGCTGCTAGTTGGCCTTACTCCAGTTTCTGGATTCGTTGCATTGCCAGCAGCGCCAAGCTGCTGGAATCAGGGTCAGGTTATTTATCATTCATTGCTAATGTTACTTGTTGGTAACAGACAATCTCATGGAACATAGATTTCATGTTCTGAAAATTTACATTCTTTTGGGGGCTTCCAATCATTCTGCAACAAGCAGCCATGTAATTTCATAATGGCACTATTGTCAATCTTCCCTTCCCTCTCAGCCTTTTTGTAATGCTTAAATATAATATGAAGATAATTGCTTTCCCTGGCATCTATAACCAGCAGAGGCATTTCATGCTTCCAAAGTGAGAGAAAATAAAAGTGTGAATGAAATTAATTATATAGAGAAATATGAATGCACAGCCAGAGTAAAAATGTAAGCACCCACAAAAAACCCACAAACCCCACCCTGGGAAAAAAACCCACCACACACCAAAGAAACTCAGTTTTAAAATAATTCACCTGTAATCTTTCTGCATTGGCTTAGAAAAGACCTTGGGCCCGTAGGTGTAATTCCACTGAAGACAATGGAGTTGTGTTCATTTACATCAGCTGCAAATCCGGTCCTTCGTCTGCTAAGAATTCTTCTCCCTAGCTCAGCTTGTCCATAAACTTATTCCGGTTCTTGTTGCTCAGACCACATGAATTCCTGAGATAAATAAAATGATTCTCAATTCCATTTGCAGAATAACGAAGACGCAGAGTCCAAAGGAGCATTTTAACAATCGAGAATTAATTTAAATGTTTCCATTGTGTTCCCAGTTGGTTAATAATTGCAGAATTAATTAAATGTAGATAACCTTGTTACGTGGAAATTCAGTGTGCTTTCAGATCCCCATCTTAATATTTGGACATAGGTGGAGAGCTTAGTTTTCTTTCCAAGCTTAATTATGACATAATAAATTTCCAAGTAAACTTTTAGGATTTACACCAACATTTGATTCAATTCAGCAGTATTAGCTTCACGCTACAATGCATCTTCCCAGGATTTGTTTTTACTACACAACAGAAATATTTTTTCTTGATAAATGCCT